TTTTTTTTTTTTTTTTGTAAAAAGTAAACTAAATTTAATATATTTTTCTCACTAATTTTAAAAGGATTAATTGCTAAATAAACCTTAACCTTTTTGCGTTTGACAATTTATCTCAATCTTTAGGTAATTACAATATAATCTTAACCTCAATTTACTTATTGCAAGTCGAACCTAAAACCGGTTGGACCTTCAAAAAACTGGTCGATTTGAAGGCGGTTCGAACAGATCGGAACTCATATTTACCGGTTCACTCTAGATCTAGGAGGAGACTCATCACTGGTAGCTTACATTGACGTGGAATTTTCGGCTTTGTACGTGGATATACAATAAATACGTAGAAATTGTCAACTTACTAAGTGGATGACATAAAAGTCAGCGTCAATGGAAGACTTGGATACAAAATCGATCCACAAATCCCTAAAACCAATCACTCTGCACCCAAATTTGCAATAAGTAAATTGAGGTCGAGATTATATTGCAATTACCTAAAGATTAGAATAAAATTGCCAAACGGAAAAATGTTAAGATTTATTTAGCAATTAACTCATTTTAAAATTTAAGAATAATTTTTTAATAAGGACCCGTGTAATACACGGGTGTTGTACTAGTAGATATATATAACCAAGGCTATGTTTGGTAAAACTAGCTGATAAGCTAGCTGATAGCTGATAAGCTAGCTTATAGCTTATATGTAATTTTCGAGCTTATAGCTTATAGCTTATGACTTATAGCTGAAAAACTAGCTTATATGATAAAAGTGTTTGGTAAAATTAGCTGATAAGCTAGCTGAAATACAAAATTCAACTAGCTTATTTGAAAAGCTACCTAAACAAGCTTATCAAATAAGCTCGAGCTTTTTAAATAAGCTCGTCCTACCAAACGGAGCTTATTTAAATTCAGGAAGCTTATAAGCTAACCAAATAAGCTATAAGCTAGCTTATTTGGTTTACCAAACGAAGCCCCGTCTCTCTTCATTGCGTCAAAAAGACTTTCAAGACTCAGATTTCTATCACGAAATAGGCCACACTGATACAGTACATTGAGCTGTGACGAATGAAGAGATTCGAAATTTACTGCGTCTTCTTCCTCCTCACATCTATCATCGAGTTTCTGACCCTGCCTACTTATGGTGAGTGGTGATTTTTCCCGCACTTTTCTATGTTCAGTTGCAGGTATATATACGCTGCGTACACTCGTTCAATTGGGACAATTTACATCGGAAACAAAACCCTAATAAAGTGTTGCTCTTTCAGACAAAAAGTCGTGTGATTTTGATCTCAACCTGGAAAACCAAGTTCGAACGTTAATTGACCAGAAAAGAAAGGTTTTTTTGTATGAATTGCACAAAAAAATCCTTATATGATGAGCCTTTATGCTTCCATGTATATGTTAAAGTGTGGGTGTGTAGGGGGAAGCTTGTATTCCCACTTCAAGTTTCATGTCATTATGTATTTATTTATTTTTTCCTTAAATGAGCTGGGCTGTTCTAGGATTTGAGGAATTGGATATTCCATAGGTAATATATCCATCTTGTTGTTCGGATAATTGCTCGGTTTGGTTTATTTCAAAATCCACATTGTGGTCTATGGAAGCTTGTGAAATTGTTTTCTCATGCCCCCCGCCCAGATCCAAATCATCTCCTCAGATGGAAACTACTGTGAACGGTATGAATTTCAATTGGCTTTGTAGAAACCTATAGATAGAGTGTGAGGATGACAGAAGTAATTCGAAGGAGGCACGGGAATTACTCAAGTGGTGGTGCGGTGTACTTCAATGATTAAGAAGGTCTATGCTCCCAGGGTAGAATTAAGTAGGAAAATTTCTGTGTGCTTGAACAGGTTGGAAATGAAAATGCTGAGGATTCTTAGTTATTTGCGCACAGGACTGCATATTTGTTCACTTGGAACAAACACTGACGAATGAAAAATGCAGGTAAAACAAACGGAGTCTGCATTTCTCCGGGTGGCCGATTTCCCCCCTTCTCCAATGAAGGGAAACCCCCCAAAAAGGCACCCAAGGGCCCCAGAGACCTCACGCTTTGCAGGATATTCCGGAAAAAGACCTGCTGTGATGTGACTCAAACGCACCCTGCTCTGTTATCCATCAGGAGACTTGCTTCCTCATCTGGAGAAGGAACCCAAGAGTGCTTGGATTTGTGGGAGCTTCTGGAGTGTTCCATCTGTGACCCCCGAGTAGGTGTGCAGCCGGGACCTCCCCATATATGTGCCTCCCTATGTGATAGAGTTTATGAAGCATGCTCTACGGCATACTTTGCAATTGATGCAAAGACACAGGTTTTTTTCTCTCTTTTCTTTTTTGGGTGCCTTTTGAATTAACTATACAATTTTAGGATGAGCTTCTTGTAGTTAATATATAGCCCCTCTGGGATGTAAAATATATCTCTTCTCACCATCCCCATAGTGTATGAGACAAATGTATGCATTTTCGATTTAGGGCTTTTCAGGTGTCTTTTTCTTTAATTTTTTTTCCAGATTTTTCTATGTTATTTTCGCCATTTGGTACTTTTCTGAGTTGTTTTGGATTCTAAGATTTAGTTTTAGGTGACTGTTTGATGTGAGACAGTTCAACAAGAGTGACTCATAATCAATGCCATGATCAACTCCTGATGCTCTCTAGTATTCATATGTGGCTCGCTTGGCAGTTTCATTATGTAAACAGTTAGGGCATGCTTGTTTATAAATTATTTCACTCTCATTCAATTCATACTAAAAATCTAACCAACTCTAACCCAACTCCACTATCTTTAGTATTATTCATGTAATTAAATATTACAAACCAATCATTCTTACACATCACATCAACTTTAATTCACTATTCATGCATGCACATAATTTTAACTACCTATCATTTCTAATCATTTATCTCATACTTTTATATCAAATCAATTTTTTTTAAATATTATTTTAAGACATTCTTAAAACCCCACTAAGAACTAGCCATACAATGTTTCTCAAAATTAACTCTCGTTAACCAAAATAACTCATTTTGGACAAACTATTTAGTAAACAAGCGAGCCCTTAGCTTTTGTGTCCTCACGAAATATGTATTATGCTGGATCAAGAATAGTTGTAACATCATTTTGATTTGCGGTTACACTATCATGCCTCTCAGGTTTTATCTCCATGTGGACCGAGTGACTTTGTCTGTGGCCGAGCTTCCGAGTGGGTCTCTAACGGCACTGAACTTTGCCGCGCCTCAGGGTTCTCTGTCACGCCATCTGAGGAAGAATCTTGCTATGGTGGGAAGGGTAGTCTGGACTATATTGCAAGTTCGTGGAGAAATTCACCTTCCGAGGTTTCGACTCGCGTACAGGACAGAGAGATCCTCGAGGATTTTAGGCAGTGGATTTTTGATATGCCGTTCAATGAAAGGGTCTCATGGGCTGTTGGAGGGATGGTTCTTACAGCCGGACTTTTATACGTAAGGTTAGGCATTTTCTTTTCTCCTTTATGGAAACACGCAAACACGCTCACACTTGAACTTATAGGGTCAGGGTTGGTGTGAACCAAAAAAAAATAACAATTTTTTTATTATTAGTTCAAAATATAAATATGAGCAATACATTCTCCTCAGTTCGCTGGGGTCAGGAGTTACTTTATTATGCTCTATAAGTGCACCCAATTTGGTGAATTTTTGAATAGCCATCTTTTTATTCCAATTGTTAGAAATTATGTTTGTCCTCCACATCGATTTGGTATTGTTCTGTTGTTGTGTGTAAGTGTGTGTTTTGCACCTTCTTCTCCATTTGAGCTAGCTTTTGGGGACGAGTTCTACCCAAGCCCATTTACCACATAATATTGACAAAATTTGAACTACCTAGAATAATGGATCATGTGCAGTAAAAGGAAATCCCAGAACCAACGTCTCAAGCAATCAGCTATCCAGCGCACGGCAAGGAAGCTGGGAACAAGACTAAATTCCACATCTTCTCTTAGCCAAGGAAACAGAAAGGGAATTGGAAGATAATTATTGCCATCTTCACCTGTACACATACTGGCCCTTGGTTATCACAGTTAAGACACTTAACCAATTAATTATGTATGAAATCACCCTGTGTTAGATGTTCCTTCTCACTGCAACTTTATCCTTTATTTCGCTTAATGACGAAAGTTTCACGATTTTGAGAATGTTAAATACAGCCATGTATTTGTTCCTCCATGCTGCTCATATTACTTAAGTCGTGTTGCAACGAAAATCTGGAAACTGCTTGACTTTTTGGAATTCTGTTTATTTAGTCTATATTCAACTCAGATTTGACCCTTTTACTGTATGTTGGTTAAGCTAGCTGGCTGTGAACACTAGCTATTGCTGCATGGAATTGGAATCATCTTTTAATTCTGTGATCCTTTATTTATATAGCATTACCAAGCTGAGTGGAAAAATGTTTTGAAAATACTACCTGGTAATTTACTTGTTCATATTAATGTTAACGGTCTGTGTCTTTTCAATTTTTCCTACAGGACATTCTTACTAACTCAAAAAGTCATCATGTTCTGTTTCTCGGGTTTACTTACAAGCTCGTTGGTGTAACGTTAAGGTCGGTCTCCAATTCTTTCGGTTACAAAGAAATTCCGAAGAAACTGTTTTGGCATGTGACGGTAGCTGCTGTGAACTTGACAGAAATACTTTTTTTGATCAGAGAGTAATGAAATTGGCTTTTAAAGATGTTTATTATACTTATTTCCCTGCCTTTATGATGGAAAACTAGAATAAATATAAAGTTTTTATTTTTTTTTTCCTTTTTTTTTCCAATAATGACGAAAATGATACTCCCTCCTATTTTTTTTAAATGTTATTCTAGCTTTATCAACTATTTGCTAAATAAATGTCGTTTTGGATATTTTGTACATATTTTTCCATTATTACCCTCATTTAACTAATAAATACATCACGTCTTTTCATAATCACTCTTCATCTTTTTCTCAAAACATTCATCTCTATCTTCATTAAATAAGGTTATTATTGACAAAAAAAATATTCTTAATAGATGTGCAACATTCCAAAACGACATCTATTTAAAATAGGAGGTAGTGTGATCTTTTAATAGATGTGCAACATCCCAAAACGACATCTATTTAAAATAGGAGGTAGTATGATCTAAGTAGACCTACGTGAATTTGTGACTTTGAATTCATAAGTACAGACAATTATACTCAGCTACGTTGTTCGTGCATGGGAAATTAAGCCGGTATATAAATATGAATGATGAGAACCTAGATCATTAAGAGAGAAGAAAACAAGACCTGATCCCGCTAATCCCTTCTTTTATTCAAGATAGCTTTTATTCAATTAGGGCGCTCATCGAACTCCCTAACTACTACAATTTAATGGAGAGAGTGGATGTTGTTTTCTTTTTTAGATCCAATACCTTCTAAGTCAGTATGTAAAATCTTCGCAGGGGACTCGAACAACCCTACTTGAAACCTCCTTAAGTACAAGCTAATGGGAAATTCTTCTCAAATTTAAACGTGCAAAATGGGTGTGATGAGCAGTGACTAAGCTCTTCTGAGTGGGCTCATTATGAAAATGCCTTCTTGCACAGACTACAGTTATTCGCCAAAGTGTTTTGGATGGTATCACACCTCCACCTTTTCTTGTTTCCTTTGTTGTGCTTTTAACGTTATGGTGCAATGCCATGTTGAGAATAAAAAGCTCGAAACCGGAACTTGCAATGCAATGCCATGTTGAGAATAAAAGCTCAAAACCAGAACTTGCAATGTAATGCCATGTTGAGAATAAAAGCTCAAAACCAGAACTTGCAATGTAATGCCATGTCGAGAATGAAAAGCTCAAAACCATCCCATTTAACGGTAAAGCTGTGGGTAGTTTTTCCAAAGCTCTTCAAAACCCACCCACTGAAGATGTCCATAGTAAACTTTGACAAATTTTGAGGTGTACACATCAAAATTCCACTCAACCAATCAACGGTTTGTCGATATGCAAGGCAGGATACTTCCACTGTCCCAAGTTCGCCCACCATTTTCGCATTTAACTAGAAACTCATGGATATTCATGATATCATCCTAAAAATCATTAATTCCTAAGTGCGAAGACAATTGATTTTGATTAAGTGAATGAACGCTAATCGAAGGAGGTTCTACACAGCAACAACATCAACCTACCGCTCTTTGTTTCAGCCTTTCAGGGCAAGGTTTCATTGTTACTACAAGATAGAAGAGTGACTTCCAAAAACGACAAGATCCTACGGTTCAAACTTCTCATCATTCTTCATATGTTACCATCCTTGTAACATATTTGCAGACCCTAAATTCTCCAAAACTGTAGCTGTGTACAAATGTCCCTAACTTCGAATTTTCTTTTATAATTTTCATTGTTCTCCTGATGAATGATAGGATGAAAGCGGTGGTACAGTCCAACCAGCTACAATGTTCACAAGGCCTCCTTCTGAACTTATGTAACATTAGAACAACAACCACCATATGATCAATCAAATCAAACCTTGCTACAGCAATTAACTCAGACAGCTAAAAAGATAGACAATCAAGATACTAACACTGCTGATCAGACATAATCGACAACTCCTTTATAACCACAAACTCGTAGAGGTTCAAATATCTCTAGCATCCCATAATCCCAATGTACATTTTCAATAAAATTCTACCAATCTACAAAATCCCAAGTATAAGCAAGAGCAACTTACACGGGGAAAAGAAAGGGCTACAATGCCGCTTTCTTCTCTACCATACGCAGCCACCTATCGATCAGCCGAGCATTGAACTCTCCATCACTAACCTTGAGCATGTCCGACAATCTCATCGAGAAACCATGCTCCATCAGAAGCCTGTGGCGCGGCTTAATCTTCCTTTCCAGACTAAACGAGAAATACTGCGGGAAAACCTTGATCTCCCCCAAATCCCCATTCATTTCCTTCAGGAAATACTCCACCTTGGGCCTGTAATTGTTCTCCACGCTGAACGTCAGCAGGCACGGGAACCTCAGCACCATATTCCTCATCTCCTCATACTCAAACCCTAACCCTAGCAAAAAATCGATTTTGGGGATTAGGGTGAAGTCGACGCTCGAGACCAGTAGCAGCGCGGTCTGGAAGGTCAGCCTGTTTGGGCCGGAGAAGCCCAGCCCGGTCAGGAACTCGAACGCGGGCTTCAATCGGGCTTCCGGGTCGGAGACGAGTAGGCGGGGGCACCGGATTAGGGATTTCCGGATGTCGGGGAAGGGGATCCCGACGGTGTTGAGCAGGAAATCGAGGATCGGGTAGATGTCGGAGTAGGGGTCGGCGGTGAGGAGCTCGGGGTGCATGTCGAGGACACGGCCGACGGCGGAGGTCTCGAGGCCCATGGAGGAGAGGCATTGGGCGACGGAGTGGAAGGTGGAGAGAGGGGCGGAGCGGAGGTTGGGGTTTCTGTGAATGGCTTTGGTGGGGTTTATCTTGAGGGATTGGAGGTAGAGAAGTTTCCGGCGGAAATTGAGTCCGCAGTCCGCGGTGGCGGTGAGGGTAATTTTGGTATTTGGGGGCTTGGAATAGGTGGGGATATGGAGGCGAAGGTTCATTTTAGCGGCGAAGATTGGATGGGGACGCCAATCCAATTCTTCATGTTACTACAATTTTTTTTTTTTTTTTTTTTTTTTTTTTTTTTTTTTTTTTTTTTTTTTTTNTTTTTTTTTTTTTTTTCTAAAAACAAAGAAAAAAAGAAGAAATATTGTGTTACTTCGGGGTCGATAAAACTCAACATTGACTCAACTTCACTCCACCACCCGTCTGAGGAACGTCGACTTAGAGTTGGTTCAAAAATAAATTTTTATGTAATTTTTAAAAATTTTATTTTAATTCAACTCATTATGATAAAAACAAACTCAAACTTATTTATCGAATCAACTTCATGATCGCTCTAGCAAAACATTAAGTCTCGTTTACAACTCTAATTACTTGAGTACGACTTGAAAAGATGATAGGGAAATGAATTTCTGTGTTTCACTTGAAAACCTTGATTCTAATATTAAAATTTGGGAATCTATATTTTCCCCTGAATTCTTTTTTTATTCCCCAATGTCAATTTGACAGGGACATAATGAAGTTAAGAATGGTGGATGAACTTATCCTTAATGATACTAGGACATGGGATGAGGAGTTGATTAAATAGACTTTCGTCCCTTCTGATGCTAACTTATCTTATTCATATCAACCACTGTGCGCAAAAGGACAAACTTATTTGGTATTGGCACGAGAAGGGTGAATTATTTGTTAAAGCAGTCTATAATCATCTGCTCAAAAAGGCTACAGAGATGAGGGTTGGTGTTAGCTCCTCTGAAGACAACCTGGAGAAGATGTGGAGGGTCACCTGGGGATTACCTATCAAAGGTAAGATAAAAATTTTCATTTGGAAATGTTGGTATGGATTTTTAAGCACTGACCTGCAGTTAGTTGAGAAAAAGGTTGAGTGTGATGAATGGTGTCATGTGTGTGGGGAAGATAAGGAAGAACTAGGGCATATTCTGTTTAGATGCTCTAGAGCAATCACTTGTTGGAAACTGGTGGGTCTTAGTTGCGATAGGTTGAAAATGAATAATGTCTCTTTTAAAAGTTGGTGGTTTAAATTATGCTCTAAGGGTAAGGGGGAGTTCGTTGAAGAGAGGCTGAGCTTGTTTTGCTATCTTTTTTGGTGGTCGTGAAGGATAAGAAACAACTGGATGTTTGAAAAGAAGTGGACACCGGAAATGGTGATTACTAAGGGATCTAGGGGGGACTGGGATGAATTCAAGGCAGCTGGAAAATCAGAGGTGAGGGACAAGGGTACACAGCAGGGAGTGAAATCAGCTTTGGTGGGAGATTCTCATTTGGGAGTATGGCAACTTATTGTGGCTGAGTTGACATTTCATAATACTAAGGGCAATAATATCCACAGAAAGTTCTACCCTTTGCTCCTCTTTATCAAAAAGTTTAAATTTAAGGAATTATCAGCTAAATCCTAATCCATAAGAGCCCCAAGACCCAAAGAGAGAAACAATTTTAAAAAAACCCCACGCACAGAAAAAAGACAGAGAAGCTTTTAACTAACACCACCAAACCACACTAGCTAAAAAGCAAAACAAGAGCATCAAAATACACAAGCCACCCCATCACAACTGTTGACATGGTTTTCATTAAACCAAATAATTAATAATTGTCGGCACCAGGTGCTCAATGATTAGAAGGTTATGCTACCTCAGAGGTTAATAAACTCACAGATTTCGAGTAACTACATGTCGAATAAGAGTGAGCTAAAGAACCGACGTCATCATCAAGAAACCGACATCTATTGTCGGTTATAGCTTGGCAAACCGATATCTATGACATGTCAAACCGACATCATGAGGCGGTGCCGACTCAGCAAATCATCATGACGCTTGGCCAGGTGTCACATTACGTGAATAAGTGGCAAACAGCCGCAATTGACTTTTCTCTTAGAATTTACACAATCTTGACAATCTTGTATTGTAATATAAATAGCACAAAGAAGCCCCAGAAAAGGACACATGGAATAATATTCTCAATAATCTTTGCATATAGATTATCCTCTTTTTAATAAACGAATTATCTTAACTACTGAGTTAATCCATACGGATAAATCGTTGTTAATTCACATATAACAACAGTTTGGCACTAGAGGAAGGGCCTCATAAGTGTTTGAGGTTACTCTTTGCTTACACAATCACTGCTTGCGTAAATTTACGAAGAAAGACATTTTCGCGTTAACCAAGATGTCACAATCTGGTCGAGATCATGCTTCCCATGCTGGACATAGCCACACCACAAATCATTCTACGAGACGTACGACACAACCGCCTCCAACTACCAATATCATGAATTTTCTCCAAGATCCAGAGTTTATTCAAGGATTGTCATCTCTCATAGCTCAAGCTCTACCCAGAACCTCGAGCGCAATGCCATTACAGACACCTTTTCCTACGAATCTAACGGAACGACCAAACCTTGTTCCTCAGAACCAAGTAACACATGCGGCGGCGTTACATGCCACTTCACAACCACGCCATACTTCTCAGCACCGTGAAGAGCCGATGCGTTCAACGACAAATCCAATACCAGATAATCTGAACACTCGTGGGCCTCCTAATCCGGAAATGACTGCTGAAAGTCAATCTGCTCATCATCATAGAGCTCCTTTGCTTCCCAGGCCTCCCTCACCTTTACCTCGAGATCGTGAAGATTTACGTCGTCAGATTGAACGAAATCGTATGTCGCGACATGCTCCTGAGAAAATAGAGGCTCTTCGCAATAGGTTAGCCGAATTGGAAACTCGACAGAAATCACAGGAAGAGTCCCCCCGACATGTCCCGACTTCGGGTAACGTCGTTGTTGAAGCTGACTCGCCCTTGGCACCCGAACTCACTGCAGAGGCACTCCCCGCCAAGATAAAAGTCCCACAAATCGGCATGTATGATGGAACTTCAGATCCTGATGCACATTTGGGACATTATACATCTTGGATGGATTTGCATGGTGCGTCTGAAGCCTTACGATGTCGGATGTTCTCACTCACACTGGGGCCGCGGGCGCAAAAATGGTACTATACTTTGCCGCCTCATTCAATATGGAAGTGGCAGCAGCTACGTGCAGCTTTCTGATCACATTTTATCGGGGCCCAAGTTTATCTCATCCCGAAAGAATCAATCACCAATATCGTACAGAAAGACAATGAAACAGTCAAAGACTACATATCTCGGTTCAACGAGCGGATTCAGAATATGGAACCTTTCCATCCCGAAACTCTGCTGGTAACCGCGATCGCTGGATTAAAGCCAAATTCTATGTTTCGATGGACTCTCTGCCAAAATAAGCCGGCTACTTTTCAAGAATTTCTCGCGCGTGCTCAACAATACATTATAGCTGAGGAGTCGATGTCGGTCCCCAGCTTCGACTTTTCAGCTAAGGAAGATAAGTCAGAACCGGAGTTTAAGAAAAAGAATAACAAGAACTTCAATAAAACTCAATACCGAGGATATTCGAAAGGCTATGAAGACACTCCAGAATCCAGGGCCGCTCGAGATCAATATGCCGACAACGTAAGAAGAGGTTATCAGACCGTTTATTCAGCAGGGGTAGCCACTATTTTTGAGGAATTAAAAGGAAAAAGGAATTATCCCTGACCCAAAACCTGTGAGAACTCCTGAAGACAAGCTTGACAAGACTCGTTATTGTGCCTATCATAAGTCCCCAGGACATAATACCGACGAGTGTCTTGGTCTCTTGTCGGCTCTCTTGCGCCTAATTGGACAACCTCAACTTCAAAAATTCAGAAATTTTGATACTCATCGCAAAGGAAGGCCGCAGATATCTCAGATGAGGAGGACAATGATGACCGAGGTGCCAATCCAAAAAGAATTCGCGTAGCCGACAAGGAAGTTATTACCTTTTCTAATCTTGTCGGAACTTCGGCTGTCGAATGCAAGAAACCCAGAACTCATGATGCACCAACTTCTCCTCATTATATACCTAGAATAATTCCAACACTAAACAGCTAGACACGTCTCGGCGAAAAGCCAAAGCCTACGCCCGAGAAGCACAGAATGCCGGGAAGCAAGTCATGAATGTTGATCTTCGAGATACAATTAACAAGCGGAATTGTCCTATCACTTTTAATATTGAAGATGCTAATTTGTTTGCTCATCCACACTCCGATGCTCTCATTATCACTGCTCCAATTGGGGGAATTCCTGTCCACCGAATTATGGTCGATACCGGAGCTTACTCAAGCATTTTGATGTTTCGTACTTTCAAGAAAATGGGTTTAGATCCTGTTGATATCCGACCTTGCAATGATCAAATCCAAGGTTTCAATGGAAGTATTTCTTGTTCCCTTGGTGAAATCCTACTTTCTATGCGGTTCGGCGGTTTCGGACCGAAGTCCAAGATTATTATGGAGACCTTTAAGGTCATGGATATCCAAAATGAGCACAATGCTGTTGTAGGACGCACTGCTCTTTATAAACTCTGAGCTACTGTTTCAATATTTCATTATGCACTGAAATTCCCCACCATCGAAGGGGAAGGTACTCTCTATGGAGATCAACAAGAAGCGCGAAGCATGACCTTGACTCCAGGTTCACGCAATGTCCACACATATGAGACACAAAAAATTCTTGATTTTGCTCAAAAGGACTTGATAAACTCTGTATCCCCCGAGACTGATGTAACAGATCCATTTACTCTGAATACCAACATCTCTTCCATATCTAATACCGACATCCCTATGACATCGGAGTTGTCCAATATGTCGGATGAAGGTCAAGACTGAGAACAGCAGCCTAGCGAAAAGATTATCCAGTTGCAAGATGACATAGACCCTAGGTTGCAATTCAAAGATAAGAGTCAACATATTCGGGCGGAACCTGTTGAAGATGTTGAGATTATTTACGTATACGAATCGGCTCAAGACAAACCGCTGCGTATTTACGTATACGAATCGGCTCAAGACAAACCGCTGCATATCAGAGCCAATCTCCAGGAACCACTACGCTCTCAACTAATACAATTCCTTCGATCGAACTCCGAC